TTTTAAAAAGGCTTCCTTCTTTGAAACATATACAATACAGAGCTCCAAATAAGTACTTTCTCATAAGCTTGCCTCAGCCTGACAGCCTTCTTATAAATATTTATGAAATATGAACTGCATGAAACTGCTGCAATATGGAATAGTATTAGCCACTGAGTCTCACGTCTCAAAGAAAACTGAAGCAGATGTCACAATTGATCCCCTTATCACCTGCACTGTCTTGGCTATAGCAATTTGAAAACTAATTATCTTAAATCTGAGAAAAGCCAACACCTCACTGTTCACTGAAATCTTTTGCCAGAACAAATGATTTTTAAAACATGCTTTTTAAAAAATATGCTTCTAAAGCAGCCAATGAAGTTGCTACTAAATACTTTACTAAATGCCTTATACTTGAAATAAAAAGGCCTAAGAAGGAATTGATCTGCAGAAATGAATTCTTTTGATGAAGTCTTTTCTCTAAAGAGAATAATAAGAGCTTTTATATTTATTCTTTTGGGTTAAATTATTTAGTTTGGGTTAGTGGGGCCACATGGATTTTCACCATCTCTTCCTAATTAGAATGAGTTTGCAGTTCTTACATATACAACACAGAGGTGGGAAAAGTGTGCACTTGGTGGGGATGATAAAACTAATCTGTGATTTAAAATTTTTTTTAAAAAGGAGAAAATAAAGAAAAATAAATCTAATTTGCAATATGGATAAGCAAGGGTTGATCTACTAAGGTCAAGCAGCAACAGAAATAGAAATAATTCCTCTCAATCAAAGAAGTAGAAGAAATGTAAGAGAAAATAATGATAAAGACTTGAGTTCTTATGTGCCAGGCACTGTTCTAGGTACTTTATTTGTATTACATTATTTAATCTTCCCCAAAATCCCATTTAGTAGACTTTTACTTCAGGAAACTAAGGCACAGAGTGGTTAAGCAATTTGCCTAAGGGCACACAGCTAAGAAAGCTATGTAGCCCAGAACTCAAATGCAGGCAGACAGACTCCAGAGCCAGTTCTGCTACGAGTTATTCTACCTTCTAATCATCCAGTCAAGACCTCTCATTTACAGATAAATCCAGAGAAGAGAAATTAGTGGTTAAACTCAAAAATCCCAGACTCTAGATCCAAATCCTTTTTCAAAACAAAACTAAACAAAGAAAAGCACATCAACACTCTTCCAAACAGAATGGAAAAATATTGATCATTCTGAGCAAATCTCATGCTGAGTGGAAAGGCCTGGTCTATCCATTGTCTACCGCTAGTACATAAGCACAGATAACAGGCGGGTCACAGCAACTGATAATCTCCTCCTTTTTAAAACTCCACTCAGTGAAACATATTAAGTCAAAACAGAGTACTAAAAAACAAACAAAAACACACACATATTAAGCATGTTTTGAGGTTTATTAAAATAAAGTATTAGCAAACAAATGCAAAACCAAAGTTCTTAAGAGTTATGGCTTTGAAAAGCACAATATAGTAAAACCTAATACATAAGTATCAAAAAGATAACAGAATTGAAGCATGTTGCTAGAATTTCATTTTCTACAACATAAACAGAAGCAGAACAAGTACAAATAAGAAGCAGACTTATAGTGTAGCCAATGGTTTGGTCTTTATCATCTGTGTATAAAATATCTTTTTAAGAGAACATGGGCAGGTACGTACAAACATCCAATTTTCATTATTACAATCCTATCCAATTTTAAAATAAGTGATTTTCAAAATGCAACCTTAACCAACCAGGTTAAGAAGAAAATCATTTGCCCAACTATTATTTTCAACAGTCCCTATGTCAAAATGCTTTATGGCTAAATCAAAGCATATCATCCCCGATGGTATTAGAACGGAAAAGCTGACTCTAAAGATTTCTTCTTTTACAAAGAACTTGGGACTGTATGGCCTCACTGGAGTTTTGTTATAGCTAACACCAGCTAGTATTAAAAAGGCACTACCTATTAATGTGGGAAAAACCTACCTGTACACAAAATTCTGAACTTTTTAAAAATAGCATCTTCAAATAAATCCTTAAAAGACACCGGTTCATGATGACTTTAAGAATTTTAAGAACAGAATTATTTGGACAAGAACCAGACAAACCTTTTTCACTCTGCCATGAAAGAAGAATCCTCTCTAAAGACTGTTTCAACAAAACAACTCATCACTTGTTTTACAGCAATTGCTACCAGCAGATATTATAGCATAAGCTCTTACTTTAAAAAAAATTGATGCCTAAAATCTCTCTCATTGGTTTTTGTAAACAATCCAATTTTAGGGTAACACTTCGATTATAACACAGTTGTATTTTAGAAGATAAGTTTCTATTATAAATAATCCAATGTAACACAGGCTTGATAAATACTGTTACCTCTTGTAATTAGGACATGCTAAACTGCAATTCAGTGAATTCCAAAGAACTGTCCAAGTTTCTGTCCAGTAGGTAGAACTGTTTATGCAGAAAAAATGGCTTGAACTCTCACTTTCCATACATGCATCCCCTGTGAGAAGAAAATCTCCCCAGAATCCCACCTGTATCAATGAGAAAAATGCTGATGCTCTGGGGGAAACAGGCATCAAACCTGAGATTACCCCCAAAAAAGCTGCCCTAGTTAATATCCGAGAAGACCACCCATAAACCAACACTCAGGAAAACGCCCTCTCATAAAAATCACCAACACTTCTAAAACCACCGGCAACTACTACCTTAAAAGATCCTTGCTTATTTAGCTGATGGGTCTAATGAGGACACATGTTTATATTCCTACCCAAGAGATTAAGTGAGGATTTAACTAATAAGACAAAGATGGGCTCTGACCCTCTCAAAAGTTAATAGGTCCAAAATTTAATCATTGGAAGTTAAATTCAATAATTATCAAAAGATTCTTCCTTCTTCAGGAAGTATAAAAGATATTAATATATTTTAAGTGGGAAAGCGATAACGACCCAAAGTAATATTAAGCAAACAACTAGAAAAAGTATAAAGAAACAGATCCAATCTGGTATATCAGATGCTCTCTGCACTGGAAGTACAGCACTTAATAAACAGGTACTCTCAAACTTGGTAGAGTTTCTCTGCCATTGGTAGGATTTTATTTTTTGTATAAACTTTCCCCTTCAACAGAACACTATTACAGGGGAACGATTTCCCACAGGAAACCTCAGGTAATACCAGAGGTTTTATAATGGGAGCCTCAGTTCTTATCTTGACAACAGATTTCAGATCTGAATACTTATTGATCATTTTACATCCTAAAAGGATGTCTTACTCTCAAATGTTATGAAAAGTATAAAACAGCTACATCCTCCTTCTGTACTATTAGGTGCAGCTTATGGAAGTTTCTAGTAATCTTACTGTGGATTTCACCTCAGAAACCCAGCCACTTCTATTATCACAGTTTTCTTATACAACAACAATAAAATGTGAAAAATGATATATACTGATATATATATATTTGACATTTTGATTATCTTCCTTAAATTTTCTCTAAAGAAGAAAACGTTAGCTTCAGTGGATCAATAACATGCCTACTAGTTTACATTCTATAACTTAAGCCAGGCAATACCAACCATACCATAGTCTATTATGTAGAGATATTAGTCAAATGCATCTCCTATATTCTTTTTTTCCCCTAATCAACAACTTTTTGTCCTTTAATTCATTACTGAGATTAATTTTGATTCTATTCCTCTTTTTGCCTTTACCAAGCTGGTTGTAATTTTATTATTCCCAGACACTATCTTTTCAGCTGGCATTTATTAATATGTTGTACATGCTAAAAAATATGATTACTCTAGTGGTGTTGATGTTTTCATAAATTTGACTATAAATCATTCAGGAGATTAAATAAAAAATTAAAACCGTAATTTTCTGAAATGGTTTCTTTCAGAGGTGCTTTCTTTCCATTGGTCAGAATTTTAGTTTGTTTTTTTTTTTTATCCTACTGGCAAGTTTTATTTCCCATCCATAGATATTGGGCATTCTCAGGAATTACAGAAGCAGCTAGACAGAACAAAGTTTTCATTTAAAGTCCAAGGGTGTGGAGTTAACAACTTTTAGGAAATACAACAGGCTTATACTTCTCCATGAAACTCTTAACAATTAATAGCTTTAGTACTGTCATTCATGAGACACAACTCCTTAGAGAAAACACAGAAAAGGCCAATCACATAAAATCCTGCTAACTCTGAAGGCTGTAACACGAATAAAAACAATTCAATGGTTTCCACAAGTTGAAGCCCACTGAAGTTGATTACATGTATCTGTCATTCCCACCGGGTGGTTTCTTCCACAAATTTGTTCCAAAGATCGTGCCATGAGCCTGGTAAGTAAAAGAATGACGTAAATACCTAAGTTCTAGCACTAATCCTCTTTCAAGTGGCTGACACAGCTCTGGAAGATTGAGAACACATGTCACGTAAAACTTATGTTTAAGGCTCAGGTGACTGTCAGCACGTTTCCTTTTACCTAGCAAAGGACTGTCAGCTGAAACACATACGGCACTCCATCTGAAAGAATTAAAACCATTCATTGGCTGTACTTGGTAAAAGCAATAAATAATGTCACAAAAAACAAAAGGAATAGCATTCTCCTTTCCTCAAAAAATGCATTTTTTCCCTCATAAAAGCAGAAAAGGCAAAGTAGAAAGTCAAGCCAAACTAACATTTTAAACAGAAGATTGACATGGCTCCATATACTTTCAATAGGCACCAGAAAATAGGCTTCTTCTGATAGGTAAATTAGGTCATTTTTCTCAAAATAATGTCTTTGCTCTCAGGCCATACTAAGTGTCCATTTAGTCAAATGCACTCCCTAGAAAAAGAGGTTAAGAGTCCTTTACCCAAAGCCTTTAAGCATAACTGATTAAATGGATATTTTAGAGTTTTCACGTCTTTCCTCTCTGAGGATTGTGTTCTGGGAGACGAGCATCCACTTAGGTGCTAAAAAAAAATGGGAAAAGAGCATGCACCGTAACTGAGAAAACCGTCTGCATTCTTTAACATGTGAATGTTTTAAAATCAGCTATCTCAACAACCACTGCTGATTCATTTAAGTATCAGACCAGTAGCCTCATGCTTGAAGCCAGACTGAAGAGGCTCCTGTGGCTACCGTACACAGGTCCTTGCATGGGGAGACTGATGCAAGTAAGAGCAATGGGATTAAGTACATGATTTTCCAACATTAATAACATCCATAAAACTGTAGAGAATTAACAAGGCGCCTTAAGTTGGAGCTATAGAATAACTCTTATAACCTAGGTTGAAAATACAACAAAAGCTAGAAAAAGCTACAACTGTAACCTATAAATCGCAGTGTTTGTTAATACAAAAGGGGTACCAAGTAAGGATGAGCATCTAAGTCCAAGTCACTTGAGCGTGTTTCACAAAAGGTTACACTAAAAACTGTCACCCATCAAAGTGCAAAATAAAAGATTAATGCATGCCAAAATTAGAGTTCTTGCAACACTGGCCAAAAGTAGCAAACAGAGCTAAACAAGGCCGTGCATGCACTGTCACTAGCTATAAAGTAGTACTTATGACAGATTCTGATTAAATGACATATACTGGAGATCCGATGTTTGCAGTAATTTTTTTTATAAAAGGAAATGTTTTACAAAAGATATATTGAGTGAAGTCACAATACACTGACAAACACTTAGCTGTATTAAAGGTAAATTTTATGATGTCACCTAGAAAACTATCACTTTGCTTTTACTGAACACTACTTGTTAGAGCAGTCCATAGTGTTCCTTCAAATAAAAGATATTTTTTTACAGTTTCTTTTAAGCCCCTACCATACACTTTTACAAAACAATGAATTATACTTTTTTAAAGTTGGTGGGACAAAGCAACTAGTAAAAGTACAGCTTCTGGAGGACCAAAAGTAGAAGGGAAGACTTTTCACTGTGTATCCTCTTCTACTATTATAATTTTTCATCATGTGATATATCACTTTTTCAAAAAAATTTAATAAGAAAATTGCTGGGACAATATGGCAAAAATATGTTCCAGTTTAAGATCAATGCCAAACTTCTGAACTGGGGCATGATACTGTGCATCTTTCACAACACTTTTGAGTTGAACATGAATACAAACAAATGTAGATTCGTCACAAAATACAAACGTATTGGTCACAATTATGTAGAAAAAAATAAGCTGTAGTATCTGTTTTCCAGGTAAGCTCACAGTATCTGTACTGAAAGTTTCTCTAAAATTAAATCAAGTCCACTAATAATATAATTGAAAAGAATACTTCTGCACTATGAAACAGAAGATATGGGATTCAGAGGGGAGCCCATCTGAGTGAGGACCTTATCCAGCCACTGAAGAGGCCCATGAAGATGAATCTCAATCCAACAGGGGGTGCTGGTAACGTCCTGCCGGTGATATTCTGCTCCCCAGCCCTATGAGAATGAACAGATATCAGCAAATCCATCTTTAAACTGTCAACCAGTCTAAACCAATTTTAACATAGTAACAAAAAGATACTTAACAACAGAGACACGTTGAATGTACTTAAAGGAAAAAATGATCGCACAACCAATCTTAGCATTCACCATGGAATTAAAAGCAACAGAAAAGCTGCAATATTGAAAGATATATGAAGTTTTTAATAACATATAATTCCCTTAATAGAAACCCTTGGAGCAAGATATGTTTCAGAATTTTTTTTTTAATTTTAGAAAGTTAATATAGTGCAATATCTCATAATTAAAACAATATTTCTACAGTGAGATACATTTTCACTTAATGGAATAAATAAAACCCATAAACAGCCTCATGTAAATTCACAACAGATTTTGTTACCAAAAAGATTTTGGTTTTCAGGTTTTTTTTTAATATCAGGTAAAGCACTGTAGATCTGATCAACGCATGCAAGTGTAACTAAAGCGGCAACCACATATCAATTATCCTTTAAGACGGGAAATTACTGGGGTGAAGTGAGTTGGAACACTTTAGCCTAAAACTCCAAAGATTAAAATCTAATTTTTTCACTTTTACTTGCCTGGATTTATCAAGCTCTCTGCTTTACTGCTTATTGTAGTCTTGGCCCAGGAAAATTAGGCCAGGGGAAAGCGGGAAGGGATGGAGGAGTAGAGATTAACAGTCATATAAAAGTCTTATTTCCATAGAAAGGGGGACATGCCTTCAAGGCTAGCGACAAGCTAATGCACATAACAGACCCATAGCAAAGCAGCAAGGAAACATCCGCCTGTGGGACTGAATGCCAAAAAGAAAAAACCCACACATAGAATTTGACAGTTGCTCTTTTTTGGCTAAATCCTTAACGACTAAGTCAATATAATACAGGTTGCTTAAATATATCACTAAAATTCTTTCCAAATTATGCTCAGGAACCATCACCTTTGGAATGCCAATAAAATCAGGCCAAGAGTAAATGATAAATTTCAAAAATTCTTTGATTTGCAAACCCTTAATAACAGAGCTTAGAAACAAGAAAATAATTTTAGTATTCTAAAGAATTCTTTAAATCACTTTAATGGGATTCAATGATAACAAAAACTGCTGAAGCTAAGGAACTTACAAAAGTAATTTTAATATTAAATGCTCTCTAGCAATTTAGTCTTTAACTGAAATTCTTTATAAACTCAGCCCCTATTCAATATCAAAATCAATATCAATACCATGAATTTTATAATACCTGGATTATAAAATAAAATCTTAGACCTGCCATGTGGTTAAAGTTATAAATTCAAGAATTTCATTTAAAAGCCTATTAAATTAGGTCAAAAGTAATTACCACCCTTCACTTAACAAAGACTTTTATTATATCCTACAGACATATAATATACATATTTACAGTGACTCAAATTAAGCTACAGGTCACAACCCACTCACCTTGACAAAACTCATTCGAATGGTACACATTTTGGTGAGCTCGTATACTGCCTCAAACCCATGGTTGACAGACTGAGCCAGAAGCTGAGCAAACTCTTGATTGTTAAAAATTTTGAGGCTGCAGCTGCTGGGAATCTTACAGACAGTGGTAGGATGGAAGCCGTGATGAAAGTTGCAGTTCCTACTCTGTACAAATATGCTGCTGTCACTGAGGCACTCTGCATACACCTCTCCGCCAACATAGTACAGATGAACACCTTAAAAAGACAGGCATTACAAGAGTCAACTTAACAAAGCAGTATAACGAAACTAGAGGCTGTATGAGGTGCAATCAAGAATACCCACTCCTCTATGGCCGACTCCTGACAGTCTTTAGATAGAAGCTACCACTAGATGGCCTTGCGCTGCCAAAGATAATCAAGAAGTTAACGTCTGCCTAACTTTTCACTAATGCAAACAGTGCTAAAAAGACCATCCTTGTACATACGTACCTCTCTGCAGACATGTGAGTCACAGACTTGTATCAGGCTGTGATATTAACAACTATGTTTTATTTCTGAGCAAATAAAAATTACCCATGGAAGAAAGGGTCCTAGAACTGTACACTGGGAAAAAAGGGAAAATTCATTCTAGAATTTAAGAATTCACCAAGTAGATTTCTCTTAAATTATTCTAAGGTAGAGGGAAAATCAATGCATGGAAGTAAGGCATTTTACCTAAAAAACCATGGCAAGTTGGCAGTAAAGTCAAAAGAGATTGGAAACTCTTTTCAACTTATTTTTGGCCATAGTATTTTTCTGAATCTCTTCTATAAGAAATCATATCACAATTATAGTAATTTACCTTTTGTTCCTAATTTGGACAAAGACTTTCTCAAGTCAAATAAGGAGAAAGCAGCAAGTGGTAAAAACAAAACTTCTTAAGAAGCAGGTAATACACTCTACCTAGGATAGGTTTCCTTCCTGACCACTTGACGCATGAGAATCTGATAATTCACTGCAGTGTGGAAAGTCCCTTGTTTACTGTGGTAACTGTCTTGCAGGATGAATTATAAATAAAACCTTGTTACCTGAATTTAAAAGGCAGGAGGGGTGATGGTGAAGCCATTGAAGACTTATGTCATTCAAACTGGATTTCCTATCTGTAACTCTGCTCCGCTAACATAATAGAAATTTACTTACAAGTCATCTCAACCCAAAATACTCCACAAATATCATAATTATAAAATTTTAATCCTTTACCAGCATTCACATATTCCATAAATATTTGTTGTGTACTTACTATGAGCCAGGCACTGTTCTTGCTGCTGAAGATAATGTTATGAACAAGACTAATTTCTGTAAAGCTTATATACCAGTCAGGAAGACACTCAAAAAATAAACATAAACGTAGTATGATTTCAGATCCTAAGTACTATGAAGAGAAACTAATAAGCAAGATTAGGAAAAGAGGACTGATTATGTCTTCACTTAATACATTCTTTGACATCTACAACTCGAGGGCAGAGACTATGCCTTAGGCTTCTTTGTATGCTCCAGCACCTTACACGATGCATGGTACACAGCAAGCACAACAAATGACTGAATTCAACTGAATGTAGGAAAATGACAAAATTACCTTTTCCAATATGTCGCCTGGTGTTTTCAATTGTCGAATTACGATTAACATTTGACAACAAACCCAAGCAGAATCTACTTTTGTTATTTGAAGGGTCTGTGAATCCATCTACTAACACACTAGTAGAAGATGCATGAAAAGCTTCCCCAACACGATTATTTAATTCATAGTAGACAATTGAACACCAATGTTTGGGCTCTTCATAGGCAACAGGCTGAACATCTGTGAACAAACCACACAGAAAAAACATTTAATGAATGATTATCAGAAACTTCAAACTCTTTATGTGTTTGCCTTTAACCCAACCCAAGCACTACACACACACACACAAAAATTTTCAGATATTTCACTTAATTCTCACTATCCTTCCCAGCTTTAAGTCTGTATCCAAAAAGCAAACCATAGAAATGCCTTGACTATGACGATTTAAAAAACGATACAAAAACAAGGATAGGCAACATCATATTTTAAATTGTTTTTCTAGCAGAATCTAATCCCAGTTTGAATTTAAGATGACAAACTTCTGTTTCAGCAACCTGAAAGATTTAACTATACCAGTATCTATACAATCATTCTAAACAAAAATTTGAACTAAAAAACTAAGTGAGACTTCTCAGCAAACTAGGAATACAGTAGTCCCCCTTATCCGCGGTTTGTAAAACCACTTTCTGTGGTTTTAGTTATCTGTGGTCAACTGCAGCCCAAAAATATTAAATGGAAAATTCCAGAAATAAACAATTCGTAACTTTTAAATTGCACACTGTTCTGAATAGCATGACGAAATCTCACACTGTCCCACTCCATCCCACCTGGGACATGAATCATCCCTTTGTCTAGCGTATCCATGCTGTATATGCTACCCGTCCTTAAGTGATGTAGTAGCCGTCTGGGTTATCAGATTGACTGCTGTGTAGTGCAGTGCTTGTGTTCAAGCAACCTTTATTTTACTTAATAGTAGCCGCAAAGCACAAGAGTAGTGATGTTGGCAATTCAGATAAATCAAAGAGAATCTGTAAAGAGCTTCCTTTAAGTGAAAAGGTTAAAGTTCTAGACTTAATAAGGAATGAAAAAGAAAAAATTGTGTGCTGAGGTTGCTAAGATCTATGGTAACTTTTATTATAAGAGTACATTGTTATAACTGTTCTATTTTATTATTAGTTACTGCTCTTAATCTCTTACTGTACCTAATTTAGAAATTAAACTATTATATGTATGTATGTATAGGAAAAAACAGCATACATAAGGTTTGGTACTATTCGCAGTTTCCGGCATCCACTGGGGGTCTTGGAACGTATCCTCCATGGATAAGGGGGAATTAATGTAGAAGGAAACTTCTTCAACTTGATAAACAACATTTACAAAAAACCTATAGCTAACATTGTACTTAATGGTGAGAAACTAGAAGCTTTCCTGCTAAGACTAGTAATAAGGTAAGAATGATCTCACCATTCCTTTTCAACAACATACAGGAAGTCCCAGCTAATGCAGTAAGACAAGAAAAGAAAATAAAAGGTATACAGATTGGGAAGGAAGACATAAAACTATTTTTGTTCACAAATTACATGATTGTCTATATAGAAAATCTGAAAGGAATGACAAAAAAAACTTCCTGGAACAAATAAGCAATTATAGCAAGGTTGCAGGATGCAGGGTTAATATACAAAAGTCAATCACTTTCCTCTATACCAGCAGTGAACAACTGGAATTTGAAATTAAAAACTCGTTACCATTTATAATAGCACTCAAAAAATGAAATACTTAGGTAACAATCCAACAAAATAGGTACAAGATCTTTATGAGGAAACTATAAAACTCTAATAAAAGAAAAAGAAGAACTAAATAAATTGAGAGATATTTCATGTTCATGGATAGGAAGCCTTAATATTCTCAAGATGTCAGTGCTTCCCAACGTGATCCGTAGATTCAATGAAATCTCAATCAAAATCCCAGAAAACCATTTTGTGGGTATCAACAAACTAATTCTAAAGTTTTTATGGAAAGGCAAAAGATTCAGAATAGCCAACACAATACTGAAGAAGAACAAAATTGGAAGACTGACACTACCCAACTTAAAGACTTACTATAAAGCTACAGTAATTAAGACTGTGTGGTACCAGTGAGAGAACAAATAGATCAAAGGAAGAGAACAGCGAGTCCAGAAATAGACCTACATAAATACAGTTAACTGATCTTTGATGAAGGAATAAAGGCAATAATGGAGAAAAGATAGTCTTTTCATTTTGGTACAAGAACAACTGACATTCACATGCAAAAAAAAAATGAATCTAGACACAGACCTTACACCCTTCACAAAAATTACCTAAAAATGGATCACAGACCTAAACATAAAACACAAAACTATAAAGCTTCTAGAAGATAACACAAGAGAAAATCTAGAAGACCTTGAAAATGGTGATGACTTTTTAGATACAACACCAAGGCACAATTCATGAAAGAAATCATTGATAAGCTAGACTTGATTAAAAATGTAAAACTTCTGCTTTACAAAAGCCACCATCAAGAGAAAGAGAAGATAAGCCACAGACTGGGAGAAAATATTTGCAAAAGTTATATTTGATAAAGGACTGTTATCCAAAATACACAAGGAACTCCTAAAACCCAACTAGAAAATGAACAAACCAATTAAAAAATAGGTCAAAGACATGAACAGACACTTCACTGAATAAGATATACAGATGGCAAATAAGCATATAAAAAGATACTCCACATCATATGTCATCAGGGAAACGCAAATTAAAATAGCAATGAGATACCACTACACACCTGTTAGAGCGGCCAAAATCCAAAACACTGACAACACCAAGTGCTGGTGAGGATGTGGAGCAACAGGAACTCTCATTCAATGCTGGTGAGAATGTAAAATAACGCAGCCACTTTGGAAGACAGTTTGGCAGTTTCTTACAAAACTAACGTGAGTAAGAGTAAACATACTCTTACCATACAATCCAGTAAATGTGCTCCTTAGTATTTACCCAAAAGAGTTCAAAACTTATGTCCTCACAAAAACCTGAAGAAGGATGTTTATAGCAGCTTTATTCGTAATTGCCAAAACTTGAAAGCAACCAAGATGTCCTTTGGTAGGTGAATGGATAAATAAATATCCAGACAACGGAATATTATTCAGCATGAAAAAGAAATAAGCTATCAAGTCAAGAAAAGACATAGAGGAAACTTAAATGCACATTATTAAGTGAAAGAAGCCAATCAAAAGGCTACATACTGTACGATTCCAATTATATGACATTCCGGAAAAGGCAAAACTATGGAGACAATAAAAAGATCAGTGGTTGCCAGGGGTTAGGAGGGAGGAAGGAATGAACAGGAAGAGCATAAAGGATTTTTAGAGCAGTGAAACTACTCTGTGTGATACTATACTGGTGGATACATCTTGTTATTCATTTGTTACAACCCACAGAATGTACAACACCAAGAATGAATCCTAATGTAAACTATGGATTTGGGATGATGATGATGTGTCAATGTAGGTTCATCAATTGTAATATATGTACCCCTCTGGTGCAGGATGCTGGTCGTGGAGGAGACTGTGCGGTGTGAGGGCAGGGGGTATGTGGGAACTCTCTGTACTTTCCACTCAAATTTGCCGTGAACCTAAAACTGATCTAAAAAATAAAGCCTTATAAAAAGAAAAAAGAAAGAAAAGGAAAAAAACCACAACCAAGTGAGCATTATCTTCGGGTAAAAGGTGGTATACATTTATATGTCAAGTGCCAGAAAAGGTCAACAATTCATAATGGGCACAATGGGTGGGAGGGACACATGGACTCTTTATCCAGTGCTAGTAGGGTGTCTTTCTTGGACCTGAAACCAGGCCGAGAAGTCATACACCCTCAATTTTCTTTCAAGAAAGGCAGGGATAAAAAACGTCCGACAAAAACTTAAGAGTGGTCACGTGGCCTACTGTAGACAGTGCAAAAGAATTAGTTAACTTTTAAAACTCAACTCTGATTATTCAATTGCAAAGAATTCAGATGAGGAGAAATAGAGAAAAATAAACCAATGTGGACCCATAGAAAGAAGTCCTAAAAGCTCAGATTTTAAAGAAGTTTATACAAAAGATGGAACAAGCAGGGGCCCATAACCAAAGACATACAAATGAGTAGCAGGAAGTTATAAGAATAGTGTCAGGAAAGCTAGAGCCAAGAATAAGAAGCTTGTAGGGGAAAAAATGCTAAGCAAAACTAAAAAGACAATTTTGGTTAGGATAAAAAGGAGACAAAGAAAAGCTCTGCCTTTGCTCAAGGCAAAGGACACACTATTAGGGATTCAAGGCATTGCATTTTAACTTTGATTTGCCTTTTGTCATCTCTCTGTCAAAGAAATAAGAGAAAAAAAAAAAAGACTGAAATGAGAAGAAACTGGTGAAAAAAAGACATCTACGAGGGTGAAAAGACGAGTGCCAAGTGCCTCTAAAGGGACTCAGTTGTTTGGCTGAGACAAGTTATACTCCAAGGAACATCTAACACACCACTCTACTAAACTGCACTCTCTGATCTCTGGAGAATCAGGAGAAGAAGAAAAGGAAAATGATTGGTGGGGTAGATACAGTCCATATTTTCAGAAGGAGGATGATAATACCCTTTACTGGCTATTACCTGATGCTATATGCCAAGAGCATTACATATATCGTCTAATTCAATCAACTCATTAATAATTTCCATGTAAATACTATCTCTATTTATTTTACAAATGGGGAATCTCAGGCTTAGAGGTTTAAAACAGCTACCCTAAGCTGCAAAGCAAATAAGTAGAGATGCAGGAATTCAAATCCAGAAATACATGTTCTGAGACATTTTGCTGTAAATGAAGGTAGAGTCAATGAATTACAAGCAAATTAGTATGAAAAATTCCTAGATAAATTCTAGACTTTGAAAAAGCAAAGACATTATTTAAACATTAACAAAACTATTGGGGGGCCTGAAATTTAACTGTTCTTAGGAATGTGGGGCTCCTGGGAAAACACAGTAGAGTCATTCAGTATCATCACAAACACACACAAACACACAAAAACATCATCCTTTTAAGAAACGTCTAAAATGGCAATACCTTACTTCTAACTTGTGACAAACTAAGGAGTTTAAGGTCTCAAAACAAAGCGGCTTTAAAATCACAATGAGATACCACTTCACAGAAAGAAATTTGGGAAATCCTGAAATATCTGGAAATAGATTAACATGCTACTAAATAATCCAAGGATCAAAGAAGAAATCACAAGGGAAATTTTAAAATATTTTGAACTGAATAAAAACAAAAACAAAACATATCAAAATTTATGGGATGCAACTAAAAGCGTGGTTAGAGGGAAATTGTTTTGAATACATGTCAAAAAAGAAGAAACAGCTCAAACTGATAACCTAAGATTCCATGTTAAGAAACTATAAAAAGAAAAGCAAACTAAACCCAAAGCAAGCAGAATAGAGGAAATAATAGAGATTAGAGTGGAAATCAGTGAAAAAGAGAAAAGTTGATTCTTTCAAAAGATGAACAAAACTGACAATCCTTCAGGTAAACCCTATGAAGAAAAAAAGAACAAGACACAAATTACCAAAATCAGGAATGAAGACATCACTAACAACTCCTACAGAAATTAGAAAGATTATAAAGGATACTATGATAAACTTTATGCCAACAAATTAGACAATTTAGATAAAATGGACAAACTCCTAGAAAGACACAAATTACCAAAACTGACTCAAGGAAAAAAAAGAGACTCTCAATAGACAGATCGATATAACAACTAAAGAAAATTGAATCCATATTTAAAAATCTTCCTACAGGGGCCGGCCCAATGGCATAGTGGTTAAGTTCACATGCTCCACTTCAGCGGCCCGGGGTTGGCAGGTTCAGATCCCAGGTGCAGACCTACGCACCACTTACAAAGCCATGCTGTGGCAGGTGTGGGAGATCAAAATTTGGCTATCTCAAAATCTATCTCTTTACCTTGATTATTTTCTCTGAAGAATATTTGAGTTTCCCCTCCCAAACTGCCTAAAGAATTTAACACAGAAGGCCTGTTTCAGGAAGGAGCCACTGCCATATGATGGCTGTAGTATAATGTAAAATAGATACTGCAATAAGAAAGGAACCAACAAGCCCATCTTATCAAAAATTCTGTCTCTCCTGGGCCACATTCTCTAGCTGGCCCTGTAAAGGGCTGTCAAACATTTGCATTTCCATCTCCATGTGAACTGTCTTCTTCCCCTCTGAAATCTCCCATAGCTGTCTCCTCCCCCACCCCCAACATCCTCCTTTGTCTTTATCTAAATCTATTCAAGGTGAAAACCACTGCCATTTGTTGAGAAACTCAGTTTCCCTGGTTTCTCCCATGTATACATGTTATTAAACTTTGTTTGATTTTCTCCTGCTATTCGGTCTCATGTCAATTTAATTTGTAGCCCAGCCAGGAAGGACTCACGAGTGGGTAGAGGACAGTCTTCCTCCACCTTCACAGGCGTCCCACAAAAAAATTAGAGGAAGAGGGGCACGGATGTTAGCCCAGGGCCAATCTTCCTCAGCAAAAAGAGGAGGATTGGCAACAGATATTAGCTCGGGGCTAATCTCAAGACCTCACCAAAAGAAAAAAAAAAATCTTTCTACAAAAAAAACTCCAAGCCCAAATGGCTTCACTGGTAAATTTTATCAAATATTTAAAGAAGAAATGATACCAGTACTTCACAAACTCTTCCAAAAATAGGAGGGACTACTTCCCAATTCACTCCATGAGGCCATTATTACCCTGATTCCAATGCCAAAGACATCACAAGAAAACTAGAGACCAATATCCCTCATGAATATATAAGCAAAAACACTCGACAAAATTTTAGTAAACTTAGTTCAGCAATATACAAAAAGGATTATACACCATGACCACATGGGATTTAACCCAGGAATATAAGGCTGGTTTAACTCAGAAAATAAGTTCATGTAATATACCTTATTACTAGAAAAAAGAACAAAAATACCCTACATGATCATCTCAATAGATGTAGAAAAAGCTTTTGACAAAATCCAACATCCATTCATGATAAAAATTCTCAACAAACTAGGAATAGGAGAAACCTACTAGTTTACTGGCTAGATCCTCCAGAACAATGGTGAATAGAAGTAGTAAGAGCAGACATCCTTGTCTGCTTCCCAATTGTAGGGGGAAAGCAACTCAGTCTCTTACTGTTAAGAATTATGACAGCTGTAAGTTTTTCATATATGCCCTTTAATAATGAAAGAGAAGTTAAAGGCATCCAGATTGGTTAGGAAAAAATAATACCGTTTTTTAATTCATAAACGACATGGTTCTGTATTTAGAAGACCCTAAGGAATCTACATAACGCCCACAAAAAGCTACTACTAGAACTAATAAATGAGTTCAGCAAGGTAGTAGGTTACAAGATTAACGTACAAAAATCAACTGTATTTCTATATACTAATAAAGAAGACTCCAAACACGAAATTTAAAAAAATTCCATTCACTTAGGAATAAATTTAAAAAGAGAAGCAGAAGTAAAAGACTTATATGCTGAAAACTGAGTAGATCTAAATAATGGAGAGACATTCCACATCCATGCACTGGAAGACTATGGCAAATCTCCCCAAACTAATTGAGAGAGTTAATGTGACCTCTATCAAAATCCAAGGAAGGGTTGTGGTGGAGGAGGGGGAGTAGAAACTGACAAACTGATACTAAAATGATATGGAAATGCAAAGAATGCAGAATAGGCAAACAATTCTGAAAAAGAAAAAGTTGGAGAACTAAACACTTCTCATTTTCAAAACTTACTATAAAGCTTTAGTAATCAAGACTATGAGGTACAGATATACATGATCAGTGAACAAAACTGAAAGTCCTGAAATAAACTCTTACATTTATATAGTCAATTGATTTCTGAAAAAGATGCCAAGGCAATTCAATGGACACATGATACTCTCTTCAACAAATACTACTAGCATCAAGTGGATATCTACATGAACAGAGATAAATTTAGACCTTTACCACACAAAAAGCTTAACTCAAAATGAATCAGAGACCTAAACGTGAGAGCTAAAGCTACAGAACTTCTAGAAGAAAACACAGGAGAAAATTTTCATGACCTTGGCATAGACAAGATTCTTAGATGCAACACCAAAAGCATGATCCAGGAAAGAAAAATTTGATAAACTGGACTTCATCAAAATTAAAAACTTTTGTGCCTCAAAAGATACCATTAAGAGAATGAAAAGACGATCCACAGACTGAGAGAAAATATTTGCAAATCATATATCTGGTAAAGGACTTCTATCCAGAATATACAAAGAACTATTACAACTCAATAATAAGACAAACAACCCAATTAAAAAATGGGCAAAAGATTTAAACAAACATTTCACCAAAGAAGATATATGAATGGCTAATAAGTACATAAAAAATGTTCAACATCATTACTCATTATGGAAATGCAAATTAAAACCACAATGAGATAGCACTTCATACCCACTATAATGGCTATAATCAAAAAGTCAGACAACAACAAGCGTTAGGAGGGAGGATGTGGATAAACTAGAACCCTCACATGTTACTGGTAAGAATGTAAAATGGTATTGCCACTTTGGAGAAGTTTGGTAGTTTTTCTTAAATAGTTAAAACTTACCATATGACTCAGAAATTCCACCTTAGGTATCTACCCAAGAAAAAGAAAAATAATGTCCACACAGACTTATATGCAAATGTTCAGCATTTATGTATCAAATGTAATAGCACTGTTTATACTAGCCAAAAACCAGAAACAATTCAAATGTCCATAAACTGGTGATAGATGGATAAACAAAACGTGTACATCCATACAATGGAATACTGTTCAGCAATAAAAAGGAACAAACTATTGATACATGCTACAACATGGATGAGCCTTGAAAACATTACATTAAGTGGAAGGAACCAGATGGAAAAGACTACACATTATTCTATTTAAATGAAATGTTCAGAAAAGGCAAATCTATAGATACAAAAAACAGATTCGAGGGTCTCTGGAACTGGAGATAGGAGCAGGAACAGACTACAAATTAGGTACAAGGGGTATTTTCAAAGAATTATGGAAATGTTCTAAAACTAGATTGTGATGATGGTGTAAAACTTTATACATTTACTAAAAATCACTGAATCATACATACACTTAAAATGGATAAATTTTATGGTATATAAATTATACCTCAATAAAGCTGTTTTTAACAAGTGGCCAAGAAATTAAAAAACAAACCTACAAACGAGCAACAACAACAAAATACGGTGAGTATTTCTCTTACCTCTACTGGATATACTGGGCATAATCTGAGGAATCATATTATTGCTTGTATCCATGGGCTGGGAATTATCTTGACCCATCTGATCATCTGGTGGCATATAGGCAGGAGGAGGAGTATCAGCTAAGAGGAAGAAAATGAGACAAGTTCAAGTCCCAAAAGAACAGTTAAAATCTTCTTCCCGCTCCAAGTTATTCTAAAAGCATTAAAAATTCATAAGATTACCAGCAGGGTTCATTACTGAACATTATAGACACACAAAAATGTAGGATGCTATCTCAGAGCAAGGGAAAGGAGAAAAGACAGCACACCCTTAGCTACTGAAAACCTACTACAAGTCCCTATGTATTTGTGCAATCCACGATAGTAAGATTAGTGCTAAAATTCACTAAAATAGAAATGAAGGTCAAGAATTTTGCTTTTATTTGCTTAGAATCATATGCTCGAGAAACTGCAACTACTGCAAATCAATTTGAAGGACAAAGATTATCCTAGTTTGGGTATACATCTACAGAGACACTTTTAAACTATCAAGATTGTCACATACTGTATATTGCTATTTCAAACTAGAAAACGAAACTATTCTCCTTCAAAATTTGCCATCAACACTAACAGCAGTTGTCTAATTCTTTTGCAACGCCCTAAAATAGCTGTTGTGCCCTATTAAATGGCTAGTTAATTCTCTCAGAAAACTGAACGTTAACTAGAAAATCTTGAGTTCCAACACTCGTGGTTGAACATCTTTGCAAAAGCTACAGCTATACTTCGTCTCAGTAACTATAAATACTGAATATAATTTCTTTCACCCCAAGGTTTGCAGCTTGTACAAGATATATTTTGAGACAGAGCTACAATCAGCACTGAATCCAGGACAAAGTATGAAAATTAGTTTTTGAACAAACACCTAACAGCAAGTTAAACAATTGGTTCTTAATTCCTATTTAGGAAAAAAAACTGTATCAATTGATATTCTTCTGCAGTAGAGAAACCACGAAGAATATACTTACAAATGACTCTGTCTGCAATAGGCATTCAAATATTTCTTGACAGAGTCAGATAAAGATGTGTCCATACATGACATGCTATTAACAAAATTTAGGAAATTTATAAAATCTACTTATGATCTTTCTCCAGGCAAAATGGTTCATCAGTTATCTAATTAAAGATAACTGGGGTTCATTTTAACATTCCACAAGCCTAAATGATCTGACAAACAATGCAGCGAAGTTAAAAAAGCACAGACTTTAGAGTCAGAGACACCTGGGTCTGAACTCCCACTTATAAGCTGTGCAACCTTAAGCAAGGTATCCAAACTCTTGAAGTTAATATCAATTTATTTTTCCATCTATAAAACAGGAATAAGGCCTATCTCACATGGTCATTCTGAAGATTAAATTTAATGCAATATCATCCATCACAGTATCAGTTACATAAAAGGTTACTCAATAAATGGTACTTAGTACTACAAATTATATGAATATTTAAGTCAAATACAGCTACATCCATTTTTAAACATATGGTACTTGGCAAAATAAAAACCAAAACTCGTCTGGAAATCAAACAATTACCAAAGAATACAGAGTAAAAGTAGCTACCACTTGGCATATAACAGTTCACCCAGAGGGCCAGCAGTATAAGAGTAATTGCTGGATTCTCAGGGATTATTTTTTTTGTAGCCATAAAATAAATTCTTACCTGGGAGCTGAAATGGACTTCCTGGTCCAGAACTTGCTGGGGAATTGGGATATGTGCTGCTAGCAGGGGAAGGCGGATAGGGGCTATTTGGAGATAAGGGAAAAGGAGTGTTGTTGGGCTGGTGGAAAGAATCTGGAAACGTCGCATTTTGTGGCATGTGTGGTTCATTGTGGCTCAGGTTTCTAAACTGAACCAGAAGGCTATGCTGTGGATTGAATTCATTATGACGAGGCACTAATACTGGAGGTAAGACTGAAAGACAAAAATCAAAAGTCATCTGTCAGCAATGACTAAAGCAAATATCCCACACACATTAAGGGGTAGATGGAAAGGATTCAGGTAAGACTGTAAATCTATTAAAACAATTTACTTTTAGGAAGCGCTGCTTTGTAGAACCTCAAATCTATATTTACATAATAACTAAACCAAAAACTCTAAGCATTTAGCCTGTATGAAGTACTCTGGAAGACAGAAAATCCAGAAAAGATATTACTCCTGTTCAATAGGAGATAAGGCATATTTTGAAACAATCATAATATAGAGAATTTAAATGCAATGAGAATTCAACAGAGGTGAGCACTTCCAGCTAATAAGGAATCAAACAAAATATTGTGGAAAAGACAACATCTGACTGGACGTTGAAGAACTGGGAGGATTCCACATGGGAGCACTAGGGGTGGGGAGAGCAGAGGAGGAGACAGGGAGACCCCAGGGAAGAAATAAGAAAGGACAGCCATTGGCCTAAGCACTGAACTAGAAGGTAAAACTAGAGAGTGAAGTTGAGGTCAGCTATGCAGATGCCCTGAACGCCTCCATGTTTCCAATTTTGACCATTTCATCTTTCTTAGTTTGAGGATCTCACATTTTATGTTCTTCAGTAAAGTTTTCCCTACTGAAAACAGCAATATTTCCTAGGTAGAAGTCTTCCATTCAAAGTCAGTTTTCTAAACATGACCATAATGAAAATATATACAACAAAGCCTACACATTTTAAGAGATACATTTTTTAAAAGATTAACTTGAGGGGCCGGCCCAGTGGTGTAATGGTTAAGTTCGTGCACTCCGATTCGGCTGCCTGGGGTTCACAGGTTTGGATCCTGGGCATGGAACTACACACTGCTTATCAAGCCATGCTGTGGCTTGATAGGTGTCCCACATATAAAATAGAGGAAGATGGGCAGAGACATTAGCTCAGGGACAATCCTCCTCAGCAAAAAGAGGAGGATTGGCAATAGATGTTAGCTCAGAGCTAATCTTCCTCAACAGAAAAAAAAAAAATTAACTTTATTCAAACATTGACTTTCTCTGAAGACCCAAGTGATCAATCACATACAAATATCTGATTACTTTTCCCTATAGAAATAGAAACAAATCTGTTTTCTTTAAACTCTCACTGTTGGTACAGTAAGTTCATCTCTTTAACAACTTTCCTATATATGTCACTTCCAAAAATCTCACTTTGACTCTGACATCATTCAGCAGCACCAAAATTAATCTGTTTTTAAATTAAATAGGTCATACCTCCCCTCCCTGAAGTAGGGACGTATCTGAGGAATCAGAGGCTCTACAAGCTGGTGTTTGTACTGTTTTTTGTCTCTTTTCATTTTACTGAATTAGTGTTGTGATTATGTGGTTAATATCTGATTACAATTGTTTTGTTCTACTGTGTATTACCAACTGCTGTTCCCCTCACAGAATGAAGGGACAGCTGCCACTGGAGAGTAGGGCATTAGACAGTAAGAATTTCTATGTTTAGCTGGCTAGCAATCTGAAAAACTTAGTGAAATAACTATTGAGGAATTCAATCCAGTAAGGATTTCTTTACTTTTTTTTTTAGAGGCAGAGCTAAAATCATTGCCTTCTCTCTTCCTTGAATATTATCTACACACATTATTTTTTTAGAAATTATTTTATTTTCACCCAAAATTATACATGGATAGTTTAAAAAGATGGATGCTACAAGAGATTATAACAAAAACAGCCTCCTCCCATACTGCTTCCAAAGACAATAATTTAAACTCTCAGCCACCTCTCCTAACATTTACTTTGTGTATTGCTAAATAATATGCTTATATTGCTATTGCAGATTTGTCAAGATGTTATTTCTAGACTTGCTATTACAGCAAATGAAGTAGCTTTCTTATATCATTCTATCCCACTCCCATTTCCCTTAACCAAAATAAAGTTACATAAAATATTTTGGTTAAATCAATATCCTGTGTTTATATTATATATATAAATATTATTCATTGCTGAGCCAAGTATTTACTATGATTATATTTTTTCTTGAACAGTGCTTTTATTCAAGTTAATTATTGCTTTGTTCCTTCATTTGCTTAACCTTAAGTATGTACCACTCATATTTCAGAAAATCCAACAGATCTGTCAAATTCCTATCAATATTATTTTCCAGATGCAACAAAAAAACAATCTATCGATTCCATTTCTTCTCCTAGATCCTCCACCCTCTTGCTGCAATCTAGACTGGCTGCTACTTAAGTCCTTAGACTTAAGGAAGTCCTTAGACTTCCCTTCTCTTCTCTCCTGTTGGATCTCATTTCCTGAACTTTATTCTCTATTAGCTTCCTAAGAAAGGCTATAAGGAAGATAAATTTTGAGTCCTTGCATACATGAAAATATCTTGTATTCTGTTTGTCTGCAGACAGATTCCAGAATAGATAACTTTTTCTCTCTGAATTTTGGGGGCACTGCTTTACTTTCTTCTAGGATCCAGAATTGCATTGAGAAATCCAATATTCTCATTTCCAGTCCTTTGTACATGTCCTGTCCTTTCTGGGAGCTTCCAGAATCTTCTTTTTATGCATGATACACTAAAATTCCATGTGTGGGTCTTTTTCTATCCTTTATTCTGGTTACTCAATGACTGGGCATTTCAATTTTTAGTTCTGAAAATTGTTCTAGTAGTATTTTTTTGATAATTTTCTCTCTGCCATTTTCTCCTATGCTCTATTTCCAGAATGTATTATTTTATTAGAATGATATTTAATTTGAAACTTATTCTGAGCCAGTTAATGTTTTAATCTAAGCATTTTTCATGCAGCAACTCATCTAATCCTCCTAACAAACTTGTGAGGTAGGTATGTATTATTCCCATTTTTACAGATGAGGAAACTAAGTCACAGAAAGGTTAAGTAACTTGCCTGTGGTCACTGGTAGTACTGGTAAAATCAGGATTCAAATCCAGAACCCAGTCTTAACCACTAGACAGTACTGCCTATTAAACACTGGATCACCTGGGTTGGCCATCTATTTTTCTTTTCTTTATCACTTTCCAACTATCTTCCATCTTTTTTATCTTTTTGTAATACTTCCTGACTACACTATATTTTAGCTATGTGATCTTATATAAGTTACTTCCCTTTTAAGTCTTGGCTTCCTTATCTGTAAACTTACCAGTAAACTTACAGGTTTATAAAACGTTAGTACCATTTTCTAACCCTTTGAAGGAATAACCTCATAAGGTTAGAAAAGTGCCTAGTTCAAAGTGCTCCAAAAATGTTCTCACTATTACTATCCTGTTACTACCACTACCACTTTATTAACACAAATACTATAAAGTGATCCATCCTGTGTCACAGCTGCTTGATTAACTTGCTTAGGCATATCAGAGCCATGCCGCAGTCTTTTCTACAGAACGAATCATAGCTGAGAAAAATGGATTACAAACAATAAGACATTTCTATTGGCCGATTATCAGTCACACCCTAAAATTCCTAGACCTTCTTCCCAGCAAATATCAAGTTTGGGAGTTTTTCAGACTATAATTCTCTATTAAATCCTCACATCTTCCTTTCCTCATCAATTCCTTCAGTCTACAGCTCTCCTTAGACTCAATAAGAAATTGAGAATCACTTCAAATACCAACTGGCAGCCCTAAAGCCCCTTAAAACTGAACTTTCCTTAACAGCACCATCACTGCTCTTCTTTTTACTAGTACTCACACCCAATGCTATTTTCAGACTTTTTACCATACTGGACTTATATAATTTCTCCATGTGAAATCCAGCATGGCAGATACACTTTAAGGTGGCCAGCACGACTACCGCCTCTGGTTATTCACCCTTGCGTAATCCCCTCTCCCTGTGAGTGTATTATTTGTGACTTGCTTCTAACTAACAGAATATGGCAAAGGTGACAGGTACATGATGACATTCCATAAGAATACAATGCCCTTCTAGCAAGAAGACCCTCTCTCTCTTACTGGCTTTGAAGAAGTAAGCTGCCACGAATGAACGTGAGCTACCAATGAAGAAGGTCACGTGGCAAGCAAACGAAGGCAGCCTCTGGTCGACAACCAGCAAAAGTCCAACAGCCTACAAGGAACTGAATCCTGTCAATAATCACATGAGCTGGGAAACAGATCTTTCCCCAGTTGAGCCTCAGATAAGACCCAAGCCCTGACCAACACCTTGATTATAGCCTTGCAAAGGACCCAGTTAAGCTGTACCTGGACTCCTGACCCACAGAAACTGTGATAATAAACGTGTATTAAGCCACTTAGCTTGTGGTAATTTGTTATGCAGCAATAGATAAGTAACACACCTAGCTAGTTATCTCAGCTTATACAATTCATTCATTACAAAAAAAATATTTACTGAGCACCACCTACTAAGTGCCAGGTAATACTACTATTCTAGGCACTGGGGATGCAGTATAGAATGAGACAGAGGAAGGTCCTGCTCACATCAGTCAATAAACAAAATAAATATCTAACACAGAGTCAAGTAGTGATGCGGGTATTTGAGCAAGGATTGAATGGAGTGAGAAAATGTTCCATGAAAAGATCCTGGGGGGAGAGTACTCTAAGTAAAGGAAACAGCAAGAAAAAAAGCCTAGATGCAGGAGGAGTATGGCAAGTCCAAGAACAGAGGAAGTTTGAAGACAGGCCATGTAGGGTCTTGTAGCAATCTGTTCAAAGAGTGATAGAAAGCCTTTAAAGTGTTTTGAGCAGGGATTGACATGATCTGATATGTATCTTCTAAAGATCACTCTGGCTGCTGTGTAGAAAAGGGAATGGGTTAGGGGGAAAGAAAAGAGGCAGAGAGACCAATTAGGAGACTACTTAGGGTGAAAGATGATAATGGTTTGTACTAGAGCGGTGGTGTTAGAGATGGTGAGAGGTGGTATTATCTAAATATATTTTGAAGGCACAGCAAACAGCATTTGCTCATAGCTCAAATACAGGACTTGAGAGAGAGAAATAAAAGATGACTTCTAGGGGCCGGCCCCGTGGCTGAGTGGTTAAGTGCGCGCGCTCCACTACTGGCGGCCTGGGTTAGGATCCCGGGCGCGCACCAACACACCGCTTCTCCAGCCACGCTGAGGCCACGTCCCACGTACAACAACTAGAAGGATGTGCAACTATGACATACAACTATCTACTGGGGCTTTGGGGAAAAAAAGGAGGAGGAGGATTGGCAATAGATGTTAGCTCAGAGCCAGTCTTCCTCAGCAAAAAGAGGAGGATTAGCATGGATGTTAGCTCAGGGCTGATCTTCCTCAAAAAAAAAAAAAAAAAGATGACTTCTAGGTAACAACTACATGAATGCTGGTGCCATTTATTTTAATAGGGAAAACTGGAGAAAAAACTGACTTAGTGGGAAAAAAATCAAAAGTCCTATTTAGACATATTAAATCTGATCTGTTTATTAGATATTTAAGTAGAGATGTCAAGTAGGCAACTGGATATAGCAGTCTAAAACTCAAAGGAGAAGCTGAATCTGGAGTTAAAATGTGAGCATGAGCTTATAGATGGTTTTAACACACGTGAAAGCATAAGAGCAGATAGAGGAAAAATATAGATGGAGAAAAGGTCCAGGGACTGAGTCCTACGAAAACAGGAAAATAAGCCAACAAAGAGACTAACCAAAACAGCCAGGGAGACAGGAAAACCAGGAGAGTATAGTGTTTCAGAAGCCAATAAAGGCAAAGGTTTGAGTGAGAGGGAAGGAGAGCAACTGCATCAAATGATGCTGAGAGGGCAAGTAAGATGAGGACTGAGAATGACCCCTCCTTCTCTAGGAAGGCAGTTACTAGTGATCTTGACAAGTCAAATGGTAGGAAAGAAGGACTAACTGGAAGAGCGTCAAGAAAGAATGGGAAGAAAGTCATGTGGAGATGATAAAAATGGGGACTCCTATAAAAGAACTAGAGGAAATAGTATAGTAGATTGGGGCTGGGAGTATGTGAATGAGGTCAACACAGGAATGCTTTTTTAACTTTTATTTTAGGATGGGCAGTATGACATGCTTGCATGCTGTCAGAAACAGTCCAGTAGAGAGGGATATACAATGCCAGAGAGAGGGGTGATAATTGTAAGAACAAAGTTCTTGAATAGACAAAAAAGAGTGGGATATAGTACACACGTGGAGCTTGAGCCTCAGATAAAATAGAGACAGGCCATCCACAGGAATGGCAGAGTGTACATATGACTGACTGCTTGCAGTGAACAATGAGTAAGACACTTGGGAGCTACGTCATCTACATATAAAAAGCTAAATTCAAAATCCAGTATTCCTTCCAAGATTAAAATCTTTAAGAAGAAAACACAAGGCTAATATAACCTTTTAATTACTAAATTCAGTTAAACACAAATCAAGAAGAGAGAAGTTTTTTTAATTCTTCTCAAGGGAGTAACACTTACCTGGACTCTCCACTCTTTTATAGTGGTATGGGTTGATACAAACTTCTTTTTGCTTAGATCCAAAAGGAAATTCACAAATATCCAATGGCTTTAGCTCATGATGACTCTGCAAATCAGGCCAGCGCCAAACACGACAATATATAACGTGGGGTAAGCCCTTTCTGTGAGAAACCTGCAGGCGTCCATCTAAAGATCTGGGAATAGTGACACATTTGCTCGGCTGTCCTGGACTGCTTAAGGCTTTCTCCAGTTCCTCCATGGCACCCTTTTTCTTTTTTAGCTTTTTCACCAAAGCATCAACTGCTTTTTCTGCCCACTTCTCCTCTTCATCACCTTGCTTCCAGCCCAACAATCGCTTTACTGCTGGACTAGTAAAAGAAAACAAGCTGGCCATTGACGTCATTTGATACAAATCTTCAGAGACCTTTTTGCAACTCAAAGTCAGTGGCTACTGAAAGAACAGATCACAGGTGAAAAGTCATATACAGGTCCTAAGCAGAAGTTCCAATTAAAAAGGGAGGAGTAACATTTATCTTCATAAGTGCCATAAGCTTCTTTCATTGGTTCAAGTCCTGAAAGAGAAAGTGGGAAAAGGATAAGATCTCTAATTCAAATGAATGTAATTAACATACATTTAAATCAATATAATTGAAAAGTATGTTATTTTTAAATAAGAGCAGAAGAGCACTGCAATGTAAAACAAAAAACTTAAGTCTACAAAGAGAAATTTTCTCTCAAGACCCATGACCACTCACCTCCTTCTTCATAATATGAACAAATAATTCACTGGCAATGCCAAATGATAACCAAAAGCAAAAACCAGATGCTCTACCTTCTATGCATTATCCAAAAAAAACAGCCTCCAGACTTTTATTTCCTTTGGTCAGGCCAGTAAGCCCCCAAACGGCCTTCTACAGTTTGATTCTGAAGTACTTTTCTTCACAGAAATGCACGTTACACTCTATGTCAATTTTGAACATGATATGTCCTGATCTGAACAAAAGTCTTAAGAGAAGTCTAGCTCTTCCTTAAGGCTATTATTCTCTTTAAAATGTTTCACAGACTTATAAAATCAGGCAAAAGCCCTGGTACTATTCAAGTCACATTATTAGATGTAAATTTTTTTTAAAGGTTGTCATAAGATGTACCAAACCCTCAAGTAAATCACAACACACATAATTGCCAGAAAAATGGGAAGTATTTATTTTTTAAACTAAGAATGCTGAATAGATTTAAAGAGAATAAATTCAAAGTTTAACCCCAAAAAGGATAGTTCATAATTTTATAATTCCTATCACCTTCTGTGGTATTTTAAGCATGTTAAGTTAACGAACCCACTCCAGGCAGACCACCACTCTGCGCCATTAAGAAGCTCTTGGAGATGATGACAAGAGGAAGTGATGTGCAGTGGCACTCCACTGATAAGAGTGGGTATAATCCCCTGCAGTCATTACACAGCCAACTACAATGAGCAGCTAGTGAAATACCAGGAGTAATGTTTGGAAAAAGGATGTCAGTAACAAATGATGCTTCCTTTCTTGTGCCTAAAATTGCCAAATAATGTTGCAGCTCTGTATTTGACAAATTCTAGCGTCAAGACTATTCTGGATTGGGAGGTATCTTTCCAGAAAAGAATACATTTGCTCAGTTAAAACCTAGGTAAACATCAAGTTAAATAAAACTGAATTAAATTCAACAAATAATTATTGATTGCTTATGTGCCACGTACTGTGAATAGCCATGATGGAGCTTAAAAAAGTCATACCAAATAGGTTTCATCTTAAGAGCCAATGGATTCATTCATTCAACATATACTTACTGAGAGCCTACTAAGTGCCAGGCATTGTTCTGGATGCTGATCAACCAGCAGGGGCTATCCAGACTAAGAGGTTGGAACAATGGAGGGAAGGGTACAGGGAAGTGAAGGTATATTCCTTAGGTATGGATAGATACGCCCAATCCTACACAGGATAAGTTTTGTCAGGTAAGCAAAGCTGGCTACATTAAACTGAAGAAATATAACAAGAGAGTAAAGGCACATTTTTTAGTAACAAGTCACAAAGTGTAAAGTGTTGCATGCTAAACTGTAAGAAGAGCTGACCTCAGTTGTAGCTACACCAAGGACCCAGGATAAAAGCTATCTGGGGTAGAGAATAAAGACATGGTTTGGTTGTCTGAGACAAGAAGGGAAATTTCAAAGGCAAAGGGACACAAAAAAATATGTGGGCAGACATGAACAGAACATTTCCTAGGATAGAGAGGAGACAGGCCTGGCCGATTGAGATTTTATTCAGTAATCCTGGAATACAATGGAGGCTAGAGAGGATACTGCACGTGTGTGAGATAGAGTATGTCTGAGCAATGGAGAGACGTGTTGAGGAAGGGAGAAACAAAAGGAGAGAGGCTTAAAGGACCAGATCTTAGATTAGTAGTTAACTACTAGAAAGTGCTTAATAAATGTTAACTACTAATCTAGTATCACTATTACTATTAAGTACTAACCATATTACGTACGAAAGAGGGAAAAAAAAGAAGTTATTTGTGTATGTAAACACAGAACAAGGACTAGAAGGCTCCATACGCAATTATTCATCGCAATTACCTCTGAGGGGAGGCACGAACGGGAGAGGCAGTAGAAAGCGGTCCTGCGTGATTTGTTCCACATACTTCAGTACTGTTTTAATCTTTTAACAAAGGGAAACTATTAATGCATTACTTGCATAGTGCTAAAATAAAACAAATTACAGTGAATAGGAGTTAACAGTGCTGGTCAAAAAGCAGACAAAACAAATGCATGCTCTTAGAAGTCAGGATGGTGCTACTCTTTGTAGGGAAGGGTGGGGTATTAACTAGAAGGGAACCTGAGGATTTCTGCCATCCTAATAAGTTCTGCTTCTCGCTCTGGGTGGTTATATGGGGGAGCTCTGTTTGTGAAGATGCAGCTGGCTGTATACTTAAGGTGTGTACACCTTTCTGTATGATTTAAAAATATTTTCTTGACGTATAAAGAGTGTAGTCAGTTTCCTTCCCATTTTTCTCCCCATCATCAGTTCCTCTTCTCACAGGTAATCCCTTTTATATTTGTCTTTTATGTCCTTCCAGAGAAATTTTACACAAACACAAAAATATATACATCATCTTTTTTTTACATAAATAGTGGTATACTAAAAAGAAAAGAGTGAAGTATAGAAGAATGTGTAAACAATGTATCTTCAAGATCTTCCCATATCAATATAGAAAGAGCTTCTACATTCTTTTCTACTACACAGAATTCTAGAGTAAAAGTAATCTTAAAAATACATCAAACCACATCATTCCTCTGCTCAAAAATCATCCAGTGGCTTCCCATTACACTCCATATCCAAATTCCTTAACATTACTTTATAGGATATAGATGATCTGGCCTTTGGCTTCTCCTCCAAACTCATTTCTTACCATTCTCCTAGCTGACTTTGCACCCAACCACACTTGACTTCTTTCCATTCCTCAAGTGCTCCAAGGTCATTTCTACCTTGCACTTGATGTTCCCTCCCCTGGAATTCTCTTCTCCCAGATCTTAACATGGCTTACTCTCTCAATTAATTCAGCTGCTTAAATGTTACCTCCTGAAAAAGGACTCCCCTGAATACTTTATCTAAAATAGCACACATCCCACTACCACATCATTCTCTATCCTCTGATCCTGCTCAATTTTCCTTCACGGCATTTATCCTAACCTGATATTACATTGTCGATTTTACTTATTTACTATATGTCTTCCCCACTGAAATGTTAGTAGGCAGGTAGCCTCATCCTCCTTATCCACTATCATATTCCCCTAGACCTAGAACAGTGCCTATTTATTAAATAAATGAGTGAGCAAGTAGTGAGGTAAAAAAAAGAGCAATTTGCAAAAATATACCTACCTTTATAAGAGCAACTGTATAAAATTTAAAACAAAAAATGTTATTTACGGATATGCAGATATAGTAAGAGAATAAAAGTATGCATGGAAATGATATATACCAAACTCAGGATACTGAATACTGGTTGCCTCTGGTGAAAGAAGGAAAGAAGGATGAAGAAAGAATGGAAGAAGCTTTAGCTGTGTTTCTTTTAAAACTAGATTTGAAGAAAATTTGGCAAATCATCAGATACGTTATTTTCTTTACTTTTCTGTGTTTAAATATTTCATAACTCGAAAAATTCACGATTTTTAATATTTACATAGTATAATGAAAACTTACAAGAAGCGGATCAGATTCTGTCCTTTACTATGTATATGACCATGACTAAGTCTATTAACTTTTCTGCAAAGGAGGGATGATGGCTCCTAAGTCACCGAAATGTTGAAGTAATAAAATAATGTGTGTACATGTGTGTGTGTATATATACGTGTGCATCTTATAAATTGAAAAGTGCTACTCAAACATAAATTATGATCATCAGTATTCAAAGGAAGAAGAGTCAACACTTAAAAGACTGGCTGGATCTCATCCCAATCTAACATACCCACCACTGTACCACTACACATACTTTCTGATTCAGCCCAAATCCCTGCACCTCTGCCCATCTGTGTCTTCCAAGAGAAATCTCAGTCATCCTTAATGATGAACTCAAATCCATTCCCTTTTGTGAAGAATTCCTTCACCACCCCACCACCCTAAAAAGGCTATGGGTCACCAAATGTTTACCATAAAAACTAATTAATAATATAAGACATTGATAAAAAAAAACATATCTTAAATTCCCAAATGAGGTACAAAATCCTTCCAGGAGGAAGTTGTCAGCACCTGGCACTATTCCATACACCATAACACATCCTAAGGAAGTATTTAAGGAATGTCATTGATTTTTCTATCAACTGTACCTTGAAATCAAAGATAACTTCAAATTTTAAACTCAGATGACTAAGATAATGATAATTCCATTAAGAGAATTAAGGACACTCAGAAAGTGGCTTAGTCAGTAGAGAAGATGGTTAACTCTACTGGAAAAGGGTCATGACTGGACATACAGGTTTAGCAAGGAAAAGATGAGAAACAGATTTAAGATTTTCGACAAGAAGCTGAAACAATAAGAAAAAATAGGTTTTCAACAGAAAGAAAAGAGCAGCAAGTAAACACCTGAATATTAGGGAACATACACTGGTAGGAAGGAGGAGAAAGAGTTACTAATAAAGTATTGTTAAAACCAGGATCTTAGGGCCGGCCCTGTGGCTTAGCGGTTAAGTGCTTGTGCTCCGCTGCTGGCAGCCCGGGTTCGGATTCCAGGCGCGCACCGACGCGCCGCATCTCCGGCCATGCTGAGGCCGCGTCCCACATACAGCAACTAGAAGGCTGTGCAACTATCATGTACAACTATCTACTGGGGCTTTGGGGGGAAAAAAATAAATAAATAAAATCTTTAAAAAAAAATGTAATAAATCCGCTGTGTGTTAACATAAATTAAAAAAAAAAAAAATTTTAAAAAAACAAAAAACCAGGATCTCAGAACTAGATACAATGGTATTGTAGAAGATTAAACACAAGGGAGACTTTAAAGAGGATATGAACAAAGAAAAGGCCAATGACTTTGGTGAAAGGGGATGTCA